CTACATTTACTAAAAAGCAGACGACTGGTCCAAAAAGAAAACAAATTAGCTTAGATCGGTGCGCTTCTTGTGAAACGAGCGTGCAACACACAAGAAACTGTAGACAGTGAATTCAAATTTCCCAGCACTAGTAAAGGAATTTCATCTGTAACTCCCAACACTGGTCCTACTTAAGAAAAATCTAACACCAAAACACAACGAAATTCCACCAATTCGTGGCCAGATGATATCTACAACTACGTAAATCTGGTGTCCAGTCTTCCTGATTCGAAAAAGTACGAAATTCTGTGCAATCATTGCCATTGGAAACCTGGTTCTGATTTTTCTTTTCCTCCACGCGAAAATATTGGTAGACGTTTCCGGTTGGCATGGTTATCACGATTTCCATGGTTGGCTTACTCTGCTGTGGCAAACGGTGGTTTTTGCGTCACTTGTGTTCTTTTTGGCAGTGAAAGCACGCGTAATGCAAGCGAGCTCCAACTATTGATGACCAGTGCTCTTCCTCCAAGTGCTTCTGCTGTCCAGAAACTATGTCAGCATGGTGAAAAATCCAATGTTCACGCAACGGCAACTTTCCGTGCTACACAGTTTAAGCGAATGATCGAGAATAAGACACTTGGTATCGATGCATGTGCAGCTGAAAAAACCCACCCCGTAAAAGACCTGCGTTGCAACAGAAACGCCAAGATGATTGAGTTTGATGTACAGCCTTAATTGGATATTTTTTGCTACGAAGAACCTGAAATACACAGGAACAGTACATGCGGTACAGAGTTGTGGTTTTATGTAAGTACAGTGATTTTGTAATATTCTAATGTTGTAACGTTGAAGAACATGGTATGTTGTTTAAATATTTGACTTATTTAGTGCGTTTCGTTATTTGCTCTCTTAAATATGGCGTAATTAATGACGAATTATATGATAGAATTCGATGCTCAGAACTCAGGAAATGGCATTTCCGGGGTTCAAATTTCAAAAAATTTCCGGGGGGGAATGCCCCCGGACCCCCCTAATTATTGACGGTTTTGGAGTGCGCCACGGTCAGGGTTTAGGCTGGATCCGCGCCTGGCTCCCAAGGCCCTGTCTCTTCGTACAATAAAAGAAGCTACCAACGAAGATCCAGTTCTTCAATTTCTTCGCGAGTGTATCATGAAGAACAATTGACCCAAGGTTAGTATGACACGTCCATATCATGGTATCAGACACGAACTGACTGTTATTGATGACATTATCCTTCGCGGGTCCCGTATCTTGATGCCAACGTCGATTCGAGAATGAACTTTGAAACTAGTCCACGAAGGGCATCAGGGCATCGTGAAGACAAAACGACTGCTGAGAGAAAAGGTCTGGTGGCCTGGCATTGACCAAGCCATAGAACAGCTAATTCGTACGTGCATTGCATGCCAAGCCCAAGGTCCAGTATCCACACCACCGCCCCTTCACATGACGACTATGCCAAGTCAGCCATGGCAAACTCTACATGCCGATCTGTGCGGACCGTTTCCCAGTGGTGAAAGTCTTCTCGTCATGGTAGATACCTGCTCCCGTTGACCAGAAGTACATGTTATGAAGAGTACTACGTCCACAGCCATCATAAAATGCATGAAGACCACATTTGCAACCCATGGAATCCCACACGAAATTGTTACTGACAATGGACCACAATTCGCCTCCGCTGAGTTTGGTACATACCTTTCCAATTGTGGTATTGTACACCGTAAAGTCACACCCTATTGGCCCCAGGTAAATAAAGTAGACGAAGTAAATAAAGTAAACGAAGTAGAACGTTTTACCCGAACTGTAGAAAAAGCATACGTGCAGCGAACGTCGAAGGGAAAAATTGGAAAGAAGAACTTGATGTTTTCCTACCGAATTATCGTTCAACTCCCCACTGTACAACCGGGAAACCACCTGCAGTTCTCCTTTTTGGCCGTCACATTAGAAATAAAATACCCGTGCCACCAACATCGACACCAGCTGATGACATACCAGTAACAGTTCGTCAACATGATCGCGAAAGAAAAGAGAAAATAAAGTCTTACGCTGACGACCACAACCGAGCTTCATCGTCCGACGTGAAAAAGGGAGATACGGTGCTTCTCCGTCAACCTCGGCAAACAAAATTGTCGACGACCTATGATCCGAAGCCGTACATTGTCAAAGAAAAGAAAGGGCCCAGTGTGCTACTGAAACGACCCTTTGAACGACAGATTATGAGAAATGAAAGTATGATACGTAAGATTCCTGATGGAAAAGACGTCGCGGATGCTAAGAAAAGAGGACTCCAAAATTGCGGACAACAGGTCAGCGAAGAGAAGAAACATGAAAAGCAGAACGAGGTCAGTATAAGAGCAAAACGGGCTAGACAGCCACCGGACTATTACGGACAGAGCTGATTGAACTTAACAATAATATTCGTTTATATTAACTGATTTCTTTATATTTAATAGTCCAATAAGACTGGTTGTGTTTCGTAAATATTAATAGACAAGTGCATTAACACTAACCCTAGGTAAAAGGAGGGATATAGTGTCCTGTGACGTAAGTAGTAACGACAGGAACACTGAGGACATTAATGATGCTTGGGGGGTATTATGGGTACTGGGTAGTTCTAGTTTGCACGTTGTTTAGAAAAGTAGAGTGAGAATATATGAACGATATTGTGCGTGTTTTATACACTATAAAAAATATCACTTTTAATTACAAAATTATCAATTTCCCAACATATATATGTTAGGTATGTTATTATCACTGAGCTATACTATATTACTGGAGGACCTGCTCGGCATCAACAAGTGAAGCCAAAATTAAAACATGGCGGATCTTACGCCATTGCCATGACTACTGGTCCCTAGATTCATGGCAACTACCACTGTCCCAACCGCGGTCCTAACTTTTCGACGATGTACTTCACCCTCCTGGTTTCAGCACAGATATTTTATGATTTCGCTTGTTTTTGAGGTAAAAATCGCACTGAAAATCTTGATATTTTTTCTGCTATAACTTAGTTGATTTGTAACGTTGAGGATTCTGCCTTTTTGTGCCGCTCGTAGATGTACGAGATGCACAAGAAGAATATTTTTATTCAGCAGTACGATTTTCATATATTTCTAGAAATGTGAAGCTGACGTACAAATATTTGTACAAACATATAAAGAATATAAACAACAAATAGAAGACATAACAAGCTGTAAATGGTTGGAAATTCTCTACATGTTATTGTTCTTTTGACTTTGCACTAGCGTCTGTATTTTCATAGGGTTTTATCAGGTTTTATTAAGGGCTGGTTATGATTTCAAATTCCTTACTGTACTGTCTGCACTCTGTACAGTCTTATATTTTAAATTATTTATTTAGTATTTTAGTAAAACAAACAAACCTCTCAAAACCCTTCTGTGTATAAGCCCATGGGCTTATATTATTTGACAGGTATATAGAATAGAATAGAATAATTTATTTAATGTCGAATGACACAGAGTGTGGTTGCCCAATCACTCGAGCCAGGGGCTCATGATAGAAGTACTCGACAAAATACCTATTTACCCATATATAAAATATTTACATGGTATTAATTAATTAATAATCTATATACTAATACTAACACTACTATTATAAGTAATAGCATGGCATTCAGGGCGATTAGTGATTAAATGTACCCGAAAGCCGAGAGAGGTTTAGTACTAAACCTCTCGAGGCTTGAGGGACATTTCATCGCTAATCGACCGTAATGCCATGCTATTACGTTGTAATACCATAGTTGCCGAGAGAATCCGCGCGTGGTGTGTTGCCTGTTTTGAATGCTGTTTGATTGTCTTATGATTGTGGTACGAACACTTTTCATATATACGCACGCGCAGAAACACATCTCCGTGTCCATTGGCGTTTTAGGCATGCGCATAAACGGAATTTTCTCCCACAATTGTAATGTTCAAGATTAGGGAATAAAAGCTGGCAAAGTGATTGTTCGAATGTGTACGGGGCGTTGTCGTCAGATACTGTCCATAGTTGTGCCGATGATTTTCGATGAGGTACAGCTCTCCAATCAGAGGTAATGAGGTACGCTTTTGTCTTCTAAATTTCCCTCATCAAGCATGCAGGGAAAATTAGAACTAATTTTACCACGGGCAAAATTTTGCCCGTGGTAAAATTAGTTCTAATTTTACTCCATGTTTTAGTAATGAGGTAAATTAGTGATTAATCGTACCTCGCGAGACAAAGGATTTCGAGGCAACTATGGTATTACTACTACTAAATGCATGCATAGCATTGACAGCCAAGTAAATCAGATTGGTGAATCTGGTTTCTAAATTCAGATAATGAGGTAGATGACTTGGCAGAAAGTGGTAACTGATTCCAAATATGGGAAATAAGATACTTATGCTTCAGTCATTTGAAATCACGCCCCCCCCCCCACCCACCCCCGGGACATAGCGGGGAATTAACAAAATTTAGCGGGGATTTAACGCTATTTAACAACGTGCTATTCCCCGGAGGGTGTGGAATTAACAACTTTTTTTATAACCGGGGAATTGACCGGGGATTGAACAGCCGCTATATTGAAATACACCGGGGATAACTGGGGACTTGAAATGACCGCATAGGGTCGTAAAAACGAAAATGGCGACTGGCGAAAAACTTCCTCGACAGGTACGTGCGTTTGAAACTTTATATTTTATACTTAATCCTCAGCCATCCGCTGCTGTTAATATTCAATAAGTATCAGGCATCGCCTTTTCCATTGTTTGGATATATTTGACATTGTTTACATTTTATATTTGCATATTTATTTACATTTTCATATCGATATTTTGATATGCCTGACCAGACATTGTCAATACAATACTTGACGGAAATTCAATCTGGAAGTTGCGGAAGACAGGTAATTCAAATGCATGCATGATACGGAATTTGTCTTGTTTAGGTATACTAAAGCCCGGCCGTACGGGGGTTTTAACAGACCAGTTTGCCCCAGGGGCAGGGGATTTAATATTTTTTAACACTTGGTTGTGTTAAATTCCCCGCTATGTCCCGAGGGTGGGGGGGGGGGGGGGGGATTTCAAATGACTACCGCATTATAGGAGTTATGCAAATAACGACTGTTATACACATCCTGTACCACATTATGACCACTACCTCTTAAAGCATATGGAGTAATACGAAGTTTTTAAAAAATTAGAAATATAGGTAGGGCCATTTTGCTTGAAACTTTTATAGAATAGTATTAATGACTGCTCAAGTGAGCGCATAGTTGCTAAATTCAAAACCGATTCGTAACTCACATTTCTTCCTAATTTCATTCAATGTACGTAAGCCATAATAATTAGCGTTTTCTAATTTATTTTTAAGTGTTTTACTTATATTTGTAAGCAATGGGCTACAGTATTCAAGATGCGGTAGAACATAAGCCTTATAAAGCTTAATTAATGTTTCTTTTGGCACCATATATTAATGCAGAGAGGGGGATTGCAACAGCTCAGCGGCCTCAGCCCATCAAAAATGCTTAGAAACATTTATAAGCCCAGGGTTTATACTCAGAGGTTTACAATCTTCATCTAAACTGCCCAGCATAGGTTGTCAGAGTTCTATAAATCCCACAGTCATTTATAGGAATGAAAGATGTACAGTATGTACGCGTGCTAGTCGCACCTTGGTATTGACCAAAACTATGTCTTGACAATTAACCTATTAAATTGAGAGCAATTTCAGTGGTGGTATCCTACCCAGCCCCCTGCAGTATTGGAGTAGAGCTCGGCATATCAGTTAGACATAATAGATATTACAGTACAGTCTTATGTGAACCTTCTCTGACAGATCATTTGTGATATATTGTATTAAAGATGCGGTACAGTTCGATCTGCGCATATGCACAAAGGGCCCTCTTTTTATTTACAAACAGTTTATTTAGGTTTTTATTTCATTTTATGTTCTTGAAAAGGTTGATTGTTATGTCTTGATAATTTATTATACTCTAGGATCATTAAAATATAAATAGTTGTCGAATAAAATTAAATATTTTGGATACAGAAAAAACATAGCCGTTGTTTACATACCGCATCTTTAATGTAAAATGTAACTTTGGGAGTTATGAAATATAATTAATGGACAGTGTTCCCTTGACAAGTATAAATGCCTGGCATTAGACGGTCTGAGAGTAAAATATCGAAAATAATACTGATCGAAGCTTGGGTGCATGGCACTAATGGGTTAATAGTTACCTGCAATTAACTTCTGTAGACTTTAAAGTTGTTTGCAAGCTAGGGCTTATAAATGCCAGAACTCATATGTGAAAAATGCTTGAGTCAATTTATTTGATATACCATAATAATGAACATATAACATTAAAGCCCCGTTTACACTACCCTCAATTTTTAGTACGGCACGGATAAAATTGGTACCCGCACCACTTTTTTGGTTCTTGGACTACCTATTTAGGTAGTCCAAGAGAACCAAAAAGTGGCACGGTACCAAAAATTGAGCGTAGTGTAAACGGGGCTTAGCTAAATAGGTAGTCGAAGAACCAAAAAAGTGGTACGGGTACCAATTTTATCCGTGCTGTACCAAAAATTGAGCGTAGTGTACACGGGGCTTAAGTTGCATTGCACCCTACTTTATTATGTTACTTGTCTAACAGCGGCAATTTTACTTGTCAACAGGAGAGCACTCAGGTGCTCAATGGTTTAACATATAAATAATGTCTAACTACTCTATATATATGGGCATGCAACTTTCATATAGCTCTAAATTTCGTGTCAGGTTGTGTGGACGTTGTACCGCCGGTGGTAAATCACGTGACAGATTCGTAAAATACGACAAATACCGAGTTTTTCCGACGAGCATTTTCATGTGATGTGAATACTTTAATATGCACGCTTTTGTTGACGGCTTTCGTCGAGGAAACGCAAAGGAAATATTGATTTTTGGTCGAAAATTTAGTACGTAATTTATAGCCTTAGAAAAATAGATCGAGGTAGATAAAGCTTTGCTGTTTTTACTTTACCTTATATTCTATTATTTGTTTTTATTTTGGTGCCGTTGTGCTCGCACTGATTATTTATCAATTATCAGACGCTTTATATATATATATATATATATATATATATATATATATATATATATATATATATATATATATATATATATATATATATATATATATATATATATATATATATATATATATATATATATATATATATATATATACATATATATATATGTAGCGGTTTTTGAGTTGTTTTCAGACGAGTGTATACCAAACCGGGCAAGCAGAAAATTCTACTTGACCGCGGCTGGGATTCGAACCCGCGACCTTCGCATTTCTAGAACGATGCTCTACCGTCTGAGCTACAAGGTCAAGCTGATATATATATATATATATATATATATATATATATAT